GATCAATATATTCTGAACAAGAAAATGATGACATTTAAGTAGAATATTTTCCTTACAGTTTAATTAAATGAGTTTTAAAACTTTACTCCATCATCTTCTTTGCATGTATTAATATTCTGAGTCAAACCAGTTTGAGTTTCCACTGCGTTCTTTTTGATTCGGTCTAAAATGAATGTTTTAAGGACAGCAACTCTTCGCTCTCTCCTCCTCCTCCTCCATCCACGTTCCTTCGACGCAGCAGCCGTGCAGACGTCACGTTAAAAAGGTAAATGGGTGAACAGTGTGTGGGCGAGCAGCTCTGCAGACAAAGTGCTTTTCTTCTGATGGCTCTACATGTGTGTGACCTGTGTGTGTGTGTGTGTCTCATTCAGAAGGAATCATGAGGAGCAGAAATGTCAGACTCCTGTAAATTCACATCAAATCAAAAATACTTTATTAATCCCAGAGGGAAATTAAGTGTCGTTGTATCATCCTGGTTTCATTCAAGAGTTGTTAGATGCTGATAGCTGTGGGCAGGAACGTTCTCCTGCAGTGAAGCTGAAGAATCAGGGCACAGATGCCGATCCGTCCACCCAGATCCAGCTTGCTGTCAGATCCAGCGGGCTGGCCCGAATGCCAGGCAGAATTCCTCCCTGAGCGATGGTCACTGCTCCCAGCAGTCTGTCGAGCTTCTCATCACCACGGACAGACAGCTGAAGGTGCCGGGAGATGATCCCGGTCCTCCCACTGTCACGAGCAGAGTTTCTCACCAGCTCCAGGATCTCGGTGGTCAGGCACTTGAGAACCGCCGCCAGGTTGACGGGGATTCATCCACGGCACCTCCTTTTCAACTCATTTGAGATTTGGGGCTGTAGTTGAAGTCTTTGAGCTTTGAGATGTTAATCAGCTGCTCCTGGTTGTTAAAAAAAAACCACCTTGTTGCCATGGTTACGCATCATAACAAATGCCCAAAAGTAAAAAGGTTTCAGTAAAAATCCTTCCAGCTGCGCAGCATCTGATACCAGAGGAAACAATCATCTGAAAAAAGCAATTTACATCCAGGAAAAAAAAAAAAAAGTGGAATTAAAGTTTTAAAAGCAATAACTCAGAATGAAAGTAAAAGAGCTGCTCCAACATGCAGCCACCCCGAGGGGCAAATTCTAGAAATGGTGTGTAACTGGTAAATGGTGGATCAAACGACTGATGAAACACAACGTTTCCATGAAAGAGACTTTAAGAATTAAAGGGCTAAACTTGATTTTTAGATAGATTTCAGAGAATAGTTAAAGTTTGAGAAATTAGTAACCCAGAGGAAAACTTTAACAAATGAAATTAAAATTGGTTGTGAATGTTCTCTAAAGCAGTGATTCTTTACTCCTCCGGCCTTGTGACCCACCATCACCCCACAAAGACGAGCCGTGACCCAAACCGAGGAAACGTTTTCAGCTTTATTGCCTGAAAGGATGGACTTGCTTAAATGTGAGGTCGTAGAATAGAACACACACACACACACACCAAAAAAAACAACATGTTTAATGATAAACTAAAGCCACTAAACGTGTGGCAATGACAGAAGGAAATGCTACTTTTTATGCTCAATTAGCCGCATTTGATTTAAAACCAAAACTCTTCAATAAACTTCAGCCTTTTTTTTTTAAAACAAACTCCGAAACATTTTTTATTTTTTTTTAACTAGAGAAGTACTTTCAAAAATACTCAAAATATACAGCTTTATGTGAGTACTCACCTGCTGAATATACAACAAACAATAGTAATATTATTCACCTGCTTATTCAAGCAGTAACTGTTCGGCTGCTGTAACAATCTGAATTTATTTCTTGACATTATTTTACAGGCAGGCGAAGGCCCACGACCCAAAGAAGACGGGTTTGTGACCCACCAGTTGAAAATCCCCGTTTTGAAATCTGCAGAGGGAATTGTTAAATCATTGAAAATATTTAAATACATTTGATTAAATGTCATAAATGCTGTTTTAAAGGTTCTCAGAATAAATTAACAATTTTTTTTTTAAACATTGTTGAAGGCACGCTCAAATATATTCAGAACTTTGTACTCAAACATTAATGTAAAAAAATAAATAAACGGGTTTGTATCTTTTTTCATGGCCGATGTTTTAGACAAAACTTTAAGGAACATCTTTTCTTGGATGTCCTTTGAATCTGCTTAAGTTAAATTATTCACCTTAAAACAAATGATCATGTTTTCCACCTAAAATACAAAGTTTCTGTCCCTATATGTCAGTTATTTATAAACCTGTGCTGCAGCACAGAAAAAAAAACTTCACCTGTTATTATTAGAGCTGGTAGTTGAGCGACAGGTGAGGTGGAAGAAGAAAGTTTGTAGCTAAAAACTCACAAAGAGCTGAACGAATAGAGCAAGAGACACCACCTCCCTGCACGCAGCCGATAATCTGAACACGAGCCGAACATTAAACTCATCAACTTCTAATATTACTGAGGAGCTTTGGCCTCTTTTTGTATAATTTTACTGGAACAAAAAGAAGATTCAGAGAAAAAAGGTCTTTTGTGTTCTTCGAGGCACTGAATCGTCCTGAACTGTGTTCAGAGGAGCAGGAAGGTGCAGAGAAAGTGAAGGATTTAACTTCTCTGTGTACAAACAGTACAGCAGTCCCTCGATTAGCGCGGGGGTTACATTCCGGACACCACCGCGGTAGGTGAAAAACCGTAAAGTAGGAACGTTTATTTTAGTATTTATATATATATTAAGCCTTTATAAACCTTTTCCACACTCTTGCATTGTTCAAAACTCTTAAACCTACGTCATTGAAGCAACATACGTACTGTACTGTACAGTACTTAAAATTTTACTCACCAGCTCGGTTCCAGTCGGGCTCGGTTCTGTGGACCTACCCTGCAGCGACGAAGCCCACCGCCCCCGTCCAGGTGGATGTGCGCGTAGATAACTGAGCTTCAGGATTGTTTGTAACTTTCCTGCCAGTTGTGAGCTTCACAGATAAATCGTTACATCTTGCATTGCTAAACTTTCCCTCCATTTCAGCAGAAAGCAGTGGTCGGAAGCACTGTTGGCTTCTGGGTAGTGTAGTTCTTTTGACTGGCGTTATTAGTGGTGCACCAATTGCAGTTTTCTAAAAAGCCTGACCTGCCGATTCTGATTTTGGCCGATACAGATTTTGTTTTCTAAGCGACACTGTCAGGTGTTATAAGGTCACAATGCACCTTCAATTTTTCAACATTATTTTATTGAAAAACATACCCTTGAACAATATCCTAGAAACAATACAAACTTGTTTTAACTGGCCATGCTCTAAAATATAAATTGCGTTCAGACAATTGTTGTTAAAACTACAAAAACCTGTAAAATCAGTTTCTCATGCAAGTATCAGCCGATTTCCCAAAATTAAGGAAATCAGGTGCACCCCTACAGTATAGGCTTAATGAAAGAAAACTACAAAATGGCAGCGCCTGTCCAAAGTATATATTTTTGTCCCAATCACGTGAGTAATATTAAAGTTGACAAACGTGTGTCGTGTACAATCTTACGTTGAAAAACTGCGAAAGAGCGATGGACTACAGTAATTAGTAAACCTATGCTGCTTTGAAATGATCAGGAATGATGATTTTATATTTGCCTGCGTTTAGCCGTTAGCAAAATACCTCATGAACCACTGGTTTTAATGAAACCGTCAAAAAATACTCACGAGGCATTTGTCTACAGCCAACCCAGTTCAAGATGGCCGCCACGTCTCACTGATCTTAAAAAACACAAAGGAGTCTGCAAAATCCTCAAGCGGTAGTAGCTGAGAGTCGTTCACAACGCGTCTTAAATCAGAAACTTTTATTTTTTACACCGTTACTAGTTGATCTCACAATTCCTCTCATCACTTTTTAAAGATTAAAGTACTTTATTGTTCCTTTTTTAACTCGTTGCCATCTTTAAACACTAAAATACTTCCCACACGTGCGCCGGCTCAATACAGACGGGACAAAAAGTCAGAGGGTAAACACTTTGTTTACTAATAACCGGATCATAAAACTGCCGTGTCTCATGATGAATATGGATGTAGGATAGAAAAACAAACAAAGATAATCATATTGGGTTTTAACTGGTTTTAATTAACCCTGATTACAACTTAATTACAAGTTTGAAAAAAAAAAAAACATGAAAGAAGCAGAGAAATTCATTGTTACATCAGAGTATTAACTCTTCTCCCCGTTTGAGCGTTATGTAACTGCTCTGAGGGGAGAAGAGCTGAGAGAACAGACTGAAAGAGGGAAAAATAGATTTTTACACAGTTAAAACAACACATTGTTTTGTCTTTTAAAAATGATACAGCCCCCCCACTTTCCAAAAAATATACAAGAAAGAAAAAGAGAGCCAAAAAAGTAACAATATAAAATAAAATAACATTACAAGACAAAAACAAACAATAAAAGTCAAATAAAATCCTCACCCTCCCTGCTCAGTTCTAGTTTCTGTCTTCATCAAATTAATGTTATCTTTATGTTACATTTGAGAAAACTAAAAGCTGCTTTTTGAGCCGAGGGGGCTAAAACAGGGAATGAAGTTTGAAAAGAAAGAGGGAGGAGGGGGGGGGGGGGGGGGTCTGATGTGACAAACACAAGATAAAAAGCAACATCTAGCCGAGTCATGGAATAAAAAGAATGCCAGGTGGAGTTAAATCACTCAGTGACAACCATAAGAACAACTTTCTGTTGACGTCTTGAAAACAAACCAATAAAACTTTATTCTTTTTGTGCCGTTTGACAGTTGAGACCTGTAACGAGATGAGAGAGCGCAATCTGACTCGAATTAATCCGGACGAGGTCCGAAACGGAGCGAGAGAGAGAAAAATAAAACAGTTCAGCAGGGCGAGCAAGAGAGCAGCTAAGACTGGAGTCCGTCGCCGAGATTACGGAGTTAAGGCAGCTGTCAGTTCAAATACAGACGTAGGACCTGGTGGGTGTGTAAGAGTGTGTGTGTGAGTGTGCATGTTGTGACAAGCTGCAGTCCTGGGGGGGGGGGGGGGGGTGTTCTGATGAGGAAATGTGATCAGCTCAGGCACACAAATGGTCTGCGGAGCATCTATGTCACAGTTTGCTGCTCTACATCAACACGGCTCCACCAGCCAATCAGAAGCCTGAGATGCAGGATGTTAAAAACTGACACAAACTGTTTGTTTGTTTGTTTGTGAATGTGCATAGATTCAGATGGGGGAGGACGAGGGGGTGGTGTGCATCAGGACAGGGTCTCCTCCTATCTTCCGGTAATGATTAAACCTTTCTCTCAGCTGAGCTGGACTTTGAAGCTTCAACCTGACTGGCCTGTGAGAAAGTACAGGACATGACTAATAACCCAGGAGCTGACACACACACATGCACACGTGCGCAGCCAGCCTGGAGAGACGGCCTGCAGCCAGGACGCTCAGGCCCTGCTGAGCAGAGCGAGACTGCAGACAGGAAGAGAAAAAAAAAAACACAGAGCGCTGAAAGGGCGAGCTACTGCGAAAGAAAAACTCGAAGTGAACAGCAGCAGAGCGAGGCGCTTCGTCTGAATCATTAGAGTCAGAGACGGGAGACTCTGTCCTGCTCTGGTGGACCGGCCTCAGCTGTTTATCTATGAAACAAATATACAAGACCCCCGCCACTCTTGTTATCCTGTCCTCCCACATGACTGTAAACTGCAGTGACACGTCTGTCCACTCAAAACAATCCACTTCGAAAAAAAAACCCTGAATCAGTCACATCATTAAAACGCTATGTTTGTAAGCTTTCTTAAATCATTTTATTTAGAATTCATAGATATATTCTTCACGTGTGTGTTACTGGAGCTCAGTCTGCATTATTTTACAAGCCGCACAGCGACAGTGTGTGTGTGTTTTAGAGGTTTGGGACTCCTGATGGTTTCTTCAAAGAGAGCTGGAGGTCCAGTCAGCCTGAACAGGAGCTGCCATGGCAGTGCTGTGTGTGTGTGTGTGTGTGTGCTTGCTGGTTTAGTTTAACACTATCTATGATTGTTAGGCGAGCTTGAGCTGGTGATTTGGGATTCGGTGCAGCGGAGACTCGAGAATCAGTTTTAAATGTACAAGCCGTGTTAGGTGAGGTCAGAAGACCAGCAAAGCTGTCTCCCATTCCCTCATGATTCCCCAACAGCAACTCTTCATCCTTCTCTTTTCCTCTCCTCACATCTCCCAGGGTTTATTTTATTTCTGTGAGCAGAGTCGTGATTGTTCCACAGGTGGCCTGTGTGAGAAAGGACGGGCAGGACAGGAGAAAGACAGAAGAAGGGTTACATAAAAGTTTAACGCTCTGAGACAACAGCAGCCCAAAGAGTCGAAGCCTCAGCGTTTGTGAGTTTTTTCTTTCATGGGCTTGTGCTGTCAGTGTGCATGGATCCAGTAAACGTACAGCGATAGGTTTCCCTGAGTGGAATGGGCCAGTTTCAAGAGTCTGACAACACCCAGCAGCCCCACTCATCAGTTCCTTTGTATCCACTGATTATTTCACGAGTTATCCAAGTGTGTCCTCCATCACTCTTCCATGTCGCTCCAGAGCTCTCAGGGTTAGTTGCAGGCACTTAAAAGTCCCGTCGACCTGTAGGAAAAGTTGCATGGGTTTGTACGTGATCGTGCTGGATGAGTTGCGGGGCTGTGAGGGGGTGTTCCTCCTGAGGAAGGAGTCATCCGTCTGGCTGCTGATCCGGCCCCCCCTATAAAGGGGTCCTGAATGTGGGAGCTGTGCTACTGGAGCAGGGCATCTGGAGCTTCACTGGCCAGGTGGGAGTTGATTTTACTTTCGGTGTGACTGAGTCTCTCCTCCCCAAGGACGAGTTCCAGAGGAGCCCTGATCCAGGATTAATGTTGGGTCGGACAACAAGACTCTGACTGTCAGTTTTATGAGTGTGTGTTGGACTCTGCTCTCGGGTCACTGGAGATTTCAGGAATCCAGTTTGTCAGTGTGGGAGTGGGATCACAGAGGAACCATCCTCCTGTCCCACCCCCTGCACTGCTGGAGAGCAGTGGTGCTTGAGCCGAGGGCTTCATCAGCAGTCTTTATTCTCTAGAGACAGCTGCGCTGCTGCACGGTGCAGCTCGGCGCTCGCCCTCCGGTGAGACGACTGTGGCGTTGTTAACGAGCCCTCGTAGGCTAATGGGGGAGGACTGTCCCCCTCTCCGCTGCCTGTCCCATCCTCCTCCATCTCCACACATCCATTACTTTGTCTCTCTCTACCCCTCTCCTCCTCTGGTCGGACTTTTTTGTCATCCGACTCCTCCTGGGAGGCTTCCATGCGCTGGTCTTCGCTCCAGCGTCTCTTGAAGCGCAGCTTGAGAGGGATGCACTTGGTCTGCGTAGACTCTGATGGCGCTGTGAGAGAAGGGGGGGTGTTGCTCTCCCCTGGCTCAACAGGTTCGCTCTTAAGGATGGGCGGGCCGCGATGTACGCTGGAGTGTATGTGGTGCGCGGCGAAAAATGGCATTAAACCAGGAGGAGGCGGCGCAGGAGCTTTGAAGACGTCCTCATCCAGATCCTCGTCGTGGGGCTGATCCTGGGAGGGGGCCGTGCCGTTAGAAAGGTGGAGATGGTTAGAAAGTCTGGAGCGACGCAGGGAGAAGAGCTCAAAAGCATGATCTCTTTCATCTGGGTCTTCATCGCTGATGTCCGTCACTTCAACCTCTTCCTCTGACTCTATGTCAGAGATGGGCTCCACCTGTGAGGACAGATAAAACAAAGATCATGTAATTTAGGTTGTTTGAATAAATCAGACTGAAGAATGCACAAGACTGGATTCATGCCACGGTTATCAGGTCTCTGTGAAGAGGACTACTTCTGTTGTGAGATTTCATACCTTTATCTTCGGGAGTCCTGCACTGTTTAGAGACTGTGTCGAGGAGGAGGCAGAGATGACGCCCGAGCCGCTGGCGGAGCTCAGGTCACTGCCGAATGACAGCGAAGACCCCAGACCAGAGGTAGAGGACATGGACCCGGACCCTGAGGACAGCGAGCCCTGCCTGGGTTTACTCTGGCTCTGTCCTTCTCTCTGCTTCCGTCCCAGTGGAGGCGGCTGCAGCTTGAACTTGAAGGGGGACATGTGTGGGGGCTCCTCTCCCAGATGGAGAGGGTGATACATGGGATGGGAATGGGGGTGGGGGTGGGCAGAGTGAGGAGGTTGTGGGTGGTGGTGGGCAGAGTGAGCCAGAGGTGGGTGGTGGTGTCGGTCTCCTCCCCTTTCTCCCCCTCCAGCCGTGGCGGCTCTTTCTGCTCTCTCTGTGGCTCCCCTCTCTGAAGTCAGACCGGACTTGTCTGTGGAGGGCCGGTGAGGCTGGGGGATGACGATGTTGGGGTACTGGAGGAAAGCTCTGGGGCTCAGGCCGTAGTTGAACACCGACTGGGTGTGGGCCTGCAGGTAGCGCTTCATGTCCTCTGGGTTGAAAGAGAAGTGTGATCCCAACATGGGTGAAAGTGTGGGTGAGGGAGTGTAAGGGAGGTGGGATGTTGGGGTTATGGACAGCGCTGGAGACAGAGGAGGGGCTAAGAGGCTGGCTCCTGGGGGTCCAGGTAAAGGGGACACAGGGAAGGGGGACAAGGGCTCCTGGGGAATACGATGACCTGCGGCGCCACGGGAACCAGGGTGGCCAGCAGGGTTACCTGGTGCGCCATACATGCGGAAAAGAGCTTCATGAGAAAGACGAGGATGGATGATGCTCCTGTAGCCTCCTCCTCCACCAGGTCCCCCACCTCCACTCACACCTCTTTCTCCCCTGTCCTCACCAGCTCCCGTGTTACCATCCTCAATCTCTGAATTGACTGAAGTGCCATCGCTGCAGTCACTAACAGAACCACGGGCCATCCGCCGGGCCACCGAGCTGAACATGCCTCCGGGACTGCGCAGGTCCTCGTTGGGGGAGAGGACCTCAGAGGGAGTGGAAGGAGGGAAGCGGAAATGAGTCCCCGCACCAGTTGGGACAGGAGGGGCGCTCTGAGGAACGCTACTTCCTGGAAACGTCACAGAAAAAAGAGAATGAAGATTCAAGGGAGTCTGAGAAATAATACACAACATTCTCTAGTGTAATCCAGCATAATCATGCCATCCTTTTCAGGGATTACGAGGTATTTAAGCTCACAGAGGCAAAAAAACCTGTGCAAGTCCATCTAGGCTTACCACTAGAGCCCATGTCAATGAAAGGGTAGTTGACCAAAACCAGTTTGTTGAAGTTGAACTTATAGGTGAACCTCTTGCCCTTGGTCTTATGAAGGATCCTCTTGTTATAGTAATATCTAGAAAACAGTATGAAAAAAAGACACACATTAAAATAACTCACAGAGAAATGGAGTGGTGTCACTGAAACATGCCACTGTGTTTTTCTGTGCACATCACTACATTTCATTTAGACCTTATGTAAAATCATCTATTTTATCTGCATCATTCAGACTGTGACAGATGTGCGTGGACACACTTTAATAAGTCTTTCATACACCCCTCACCACCAGCACGACAGATATTAGAGAGTGTTGCATGACATTTGCACAAAGCAGACGCTGAAAGAAAGAGTGGGGGGAAGGTGGAGGGATGAGAGAAAACAGGCAGATGAGAAATGGAGGATGGACAGAGTTGTGGAGCAGCACAGTGATGCTGTGTGTCAGCAAATAATTAAAAAGATCAGAGGCCAGCAGTGTTACTGCTGCGGGCAAAGGTTGAACAATTCCGAGAGGATTTTTAAGAGGCAGAGGATCGTGAGTGGCTGGATGGAAGTTTAACAGGTGTGTGGATTGTTTATGTGTGACATTTGTGTAAAACAAGGTCAAGAGTCGCACAAAAATAGTCATTTAAATGGATAGTTGAGATTTTTTTATGTGAATGATCAATATTTTACCTGTTGCAGACTGATCTTTGAACAATTTGAGAAACGAGAGCTGAATTCTGACCTGACTGATGAGCTAATGGCCAGTTCCAAACAAAGTTTTGCCATCTTCAAAATCTCCAATCAAACAACTGTAGGCTAGAACAACTAACTTTCCCTTTGTACCAGATTAGCTGCTATTATTATTTATTTATTTACTTTTTCTCTTTATCTTAATTCAATAGACAAATATTTCTAGTCTTTTCTTTTCTGCAGGTTCTCTCTCTTCTTTTTTTTTTAAAACACATATATGTATATGACTAATTTTATGGAAATGGCAATACTGGTTTTTCTTATTTGAGAGTGGTGGTTATTTTATCTTTTTTTTTTCTACATGCTACGTCGACGTGAGTGGAGGCTGCTTGTCTGTTTTTCTTTTTTAGAGTTCATACCTTTATGTTTTAAAGGAAGTTGTACAGTTTGTTTAATATGTACAGTACAATACAAGAATAGTGCTATGACTGTACAATTTGTTAAAAACCAAATAAGCAAGTTTGGAAAAAAAATTCTCCAATCTAAAAAATATTATGATGGTTTGTGCACCTTCACACAAACATCTGAAATGTTAAAACAATTACCGTATAACACATAAGAACAATAGGTTGTGAAATTTTTAACTTTTGAATTGTTTTATTATATCAACAACCCACTTTGGTCTTGGTTATGTTGGACTAGCAGGTCGAAGAGTAAATCCAGTCAGACTTGAACTATTTCTTCAGACTGAGGATGTATGAAGAGCTATGACAACAGGTAAGATATTATTTGTTCATGACTTTTACATAAAACCACACTTTAAATATCTGAATTATCCCTTTAAGATCAGATGATGAGAGGTTAGTGTCACAGTCAACAGAACATTATGTCTTTCACGTTTTATGTAACAGAAAAGCCAAGCCACCAATAATTCAGCACATCTTTATCTGTTTATGTAATGGCCATTCTCTCGCTCTTCTCCTCAAACCATCTCTCCCCCCATGGTCCCCCCCCCCCCACACACACACACAGCACAAGGCTCCATTTTTTATTAACCTTTGTCCAACTACAGCTTTTTATGTAACAACTCTCTCCTTTCTTATCCAGATCCACATCCACTTTATGTAACCTCTAGATCCCTGGCTACCAACCGCCACACACCGAGGAAGACGCCAAGTGAAGAGGAGAGGAGATGAAGAGCAGCACAGAAACAAAAAGGCGTTTGTTTGTCAGCGGGAGAGCGAGCTCATGTGCCAACCTCCGATTTTAAGACACGAGACACAACCGAACTGCACTTTCCTCCTTTATGTCTGCACCCCTCAGTGATTCCATTTTTCTTCCTCCAGCACGTGTTTGTTGGCACGAGTTGAGCCAAAGCTGTTGGCAAATATAAGAGGTTCTTCAAGGTGTGCAGGTATTGTTAAGTTAATCAAAGCTCACCGGCTGTCATTACACTGAACTGTAGTTACCAAGACGGTGGCGTGTGTGTGCAAGAGTCTGTTTTTGTTGCTGGGGAGGTGTCACCCTTAACCCCCTCTTATTAAGCTTATTACAGTTTTTATTATTTTAAATTACGCTAGGAACACACTGTTGCTCTTTTTCACGTGTCCCCCCCACATCTTCTACATTTATCCCTCCCCGCTGTCTCCCACTTTCTCTCATCAACCATCCTCCCTCTTCTTCATCCCGACTCTCTCCACTTATCCCCTCGGGGCAACGGGAGAGTGAGGGGGAGAAAGCGAGAGACAGGACAGGCCTGCACTGTTGAAAACATTGTTTACGCCAGGCACAAAGCAGCATGTAATTTCTGCTCTAGGGGAGACATTCACAAGGGTCGCGGAGGAGGGGATGGGGTGGAGGACAGTAGGGAAGAAGGGTGAGGAAGGAAGTAAAGCAGAAATAAAATCACAACAGAAGTGCGATCAAATTAGATGGTGACAGAAAAGTCAACATGTTGTACTAAAGTCCACATGAGGGTTCATTATCAATACAAATTGTAAAGGATGTAAACAAAGTTACTCCAGCTAACTTGTTGCCAGTTCACTAAACAGAATGAGGCTGCTGCTCTCTGCCCCAAAAGTATTTTCAACAGCAAAGGACTCCAATAAATGGTAAGGTGTGTTTCTATGCACCACACTTTCACACTCTTCGGGCCAACAGCAATGGCCAATCAGAGGAGCCCTAGCTGCCTTCATCTGGTTCAGATGACAGTGGTTGAGTGATGATTGTTGGAATGGCCAAAGGGAAAACGAAGCACAAGGTAAACTAGAAAAACAGCATTTTCTGTGAAAATTCAGAGTGAATACCGAGTGTCTAATGGCTTTTGCTGAAATGTACTGATAAATCTGAAACAGATGAAAAAGATAAAAGTGGAAAGTGAAAAAATGTTAGCTTAAAGTAGCAATATGCAAGCTAAAAGAGCTAATCACTAGCTAGCAGCTAAAAGTGGCAAACGACTAGCTAAAAGATAAAAGTACCAGAACAGTAGGAAGGAAGAACCAAAAAAAAAGGCAAAAAGCTCACTAAAAGCTGAAAGTAGCAGAATGACAGCTAAAAGAAGTAAAAGGCTAGCTTAAAGCTAGAAGAATAAGACAAAAATAAACAAGCACGGTGAAGCAGGTTTTTAAAGGAATTGACACAATCTAAATCCATCTCTTTGGGGAAAATATTTGTAAATAAATTATCTGAAAAGCTTAAAAGTTACAGAAACCAAAAGTCATAGCACCCATCTCCCGAATGAGGTGATGTATGAATGGCTAAAATAGTACAATGTATGCAGAAGTCAATAATAAAGAAACAGGAATTCAATAGTGTGAATGCTGACTCAGCATTCTGCAGGAAGTCATGCTGCTGTTGTATTGATCACAAATGTTGCAAGCTGCATGGAGGAGTAATGGTTAGCACTGCTGGCTCACAGCAAGAAGGTCCCAAGTTCAAATCTTGGTGGCGACCTTTACGAGGTGAGTTTGCACGTTTTCCACCATGCATGTGTGGATTTACACCAGATACTCCAGTTCTCTCTCATATTTCAAAAGCATGCTGTACTGGTCATTCTAACGTAACCTTTGCTAAATAATGTGCAGCTCTAAATAACGTGAATGCAGCACAAGAATGTGAACATAGTGCAATGTTGAAGTGGCGGTGTATTGAAACATTTCACTTTCAGTAAGTCATCACAAAAACAATGTGATCTCAAACTGCAGGTCTGAATATTTGTGAACATCATTTTGGTAATAATCATGCAGTACATAGCAAACCAATAAGACCTAACAGTAATCAGATTTATTTATATAGCACCAAGTTACAACAAGTGTCAGGGACAAACCGGCCCAATTGAATTCTATTAAATTCAACTAAATTCATTAGAGTCCAATAATGCAGTTTAATAAACAACTTAATTTTTGAAACAAGGACATAAAAATCAGGGATGAAAGACACCATAAGATGTTTTACCACAGATATTTATCCAGAGCAAGTTATGACTGAACTTTCAAAAATCAAAACTATTCACTTTGTTGCCGTCAGATAACAAAAAGGCCCTCCAGCCACATTTCTCCTTTATTAAAAAACAACTTTAAAGTCATAATAGCTATCAAAGTGTGCATATTTTCAATGCTTTTGATTTGAATTTTTTGTATTTGTGTATCGTCTATGATGAAAAAATAACCTCGAGACGCAGATCATTCACAACCAGAAGTCTACCACATAATTTCAGTAAATGAGCAAAATAACTCACTTCCTGTTTATAAATCTTCTCTGAAAACACATTTTTTATCTTTGGTTTTTAACTCCGCTTGAAATGTTGGTTTTACTGTTTTTAATGTATTTCTGTTTAAAGTTTTTACAGTTTTTCCGATTTACAGTTCATTACTTTTATGGTTTCAAATGATTTTAGTTTTAATGCTTGCTTTTATGTGTTATGTGTACAGCACTTTGGCCAAAGGTGTTGATTTTAAAGTGCTTTATGAATAAAGTTGTGTTGTATAAACAGAATCACATTTTGTTGCCAATAATTACGAGTCATTTGCTTACATTTGAACATTGATGAGTACACTTCAGACAATACTGGCAGTTGTATAATAATACTGATGGTTAATGAGTCAGTAAAATAACCCCCAGATGTAAACAGAGTCAGGTGGAGAACAACGGCATCAGAGACGCCATGTCAGAAGCAAAAAGCTAAAGTTCTTCTGAAAACAAACGTCAAGAGTCAACATAATTTGGGGGAGAAATTTGAGAGATAGACAGCTTTAGATCATAACTTGGAGCTAAGATCATATGTAAATGAGCTGCAGAGATTTTCCAAACTCCATTTACTATTTTTGTAACTGATCGCTGACTTTAGATTTAAACAAAGTCGAGGAATATTTGTTGTTTTCTAACATCATTTTTACAAAAACCCTG